ACCAGGCAATGGGTGAAACACTGGCCAGGATGGACATAGGCCAGTGAGCTGTGCTATCGCTAGCAATGGAGAAAAAAAAGTGAGGAAAACCATGTAGAAAACAGGGTCATCATATTTCAGATTTCTCGAGCCAGAAATGCGAACGTGTCCTCCGTCCTTTCCTCCCCTCCCCTCCATTGCTGCCCCCCCTGCACTCCTCCCGAGCATCTACAGCAGCTGTCACCGCACAAGCACAGGCCCCAATTCAGCAAAGCCCTTAAGCACAAACTTAATTACCAGGACAAGCTTAAGGGCTTTGCTGAATTGGGCCTGCAGAGCTGGATGGAAACCTGCTGAGCCACGCCAGGGCAGACTCGTGGGAGGGTTGCAGGCTCAGCCCCTTCCTTCCTGGGGGTCAGTGTAAAATAAAACCAGAGGCAACATTGCAGAAGCAGATCAAATTCCCAGCCCCTTAGCAGCCCATCCAGGTACGAAAGACCAGACCCCTCCACTCTGCCAGCTGTATCCAACCTTCTCACTTCTTGACACAGGACACATACCCCATTTTTCTTCTCTGCTCACCAGCCCGCCTCACAACCAGGCACAGGACAGGATGGGCACGCATTGAATGGCTTTTTCTTCTCAAGCACCATCTGGAAGTCACCGCGAAATGCGATGCTGTGTGGAAAGTGGCTGGAAAGAATGACACCGTGAGAACCTGTTTTTTTTTTTTTCCTGAGGAAATAAATAGACCGTGCGCCACAAGCACGGAAAGGAGAGCATTCATGCCATATCAGGAGCAGGTAGGGCCATGCAGGGACAGCCTGGAGTTTGTTTGAGGAGCAGTCATTGCCTCTTAGGAAGATTTTGCTGGGCAGAGGCATACAGGACAGTCACTGGTGATACTACCAGGGTGCCAGGCTGTGGGTGGCAGCAGTTTCAACCTGTCCTTAGCAGCCCCGGGCATGCAAACTATTTATAAGGGGGCCATAAAACATGGGGGAGCAAAGCAAGTTACTGCATGCTGCATGGCAGCTCCCATGTGTGCAGGTACCAGGAATTGGGGAGAGGCTGACCACCACTGCCCTCTTGCTTGATGAGGGGGTCTTTAATGTCATGGGTGCTGGTGGGGGTGTCAGGCGAGACAGAGCTCGAGGCCTGGCTCCAACATGGTTGTGGCGATGGCGTGGATTCAACTATTTCAAAGGGCACTGGCCGGTCAAATCAAGCCCCAAATTTAAATTTGTTAAAATAACTTTTTGCAAAACATTAGGATGGAGAGAAATGTTTCCATGGTTTTGTTTTTAAATTCCAAGTGGGAAGAGTTTATTTTTTCACTAGGAAACTTTCCCTGTAGGATTCATGACGCTGGCTGGGAGACAAGAGCCAGCGAGCTCTGCTCTCAAATGGAGGTGACCCCAGGGATGACACTGTGCCGGTCACGTCGCCTCATGCAGCCTTACTTGCCCCCTTGGCAAAAGAGAGGTGGCAACGTGCATGGCTGCAGAATGTCTGGGATGCCAATGCTGCTGCAGGGATGCTCAGCCCTATGGCTATCATGTGGTTAGGCCCTGTGGCCATTTGATCTAAATCTGGACAAGTGGTGTGATTAGATTTGCACGGTTGAAGGTAAATGCAACAAAAACTCTTACACTGCAGGCAGGTTAGGGGAAAACCTGGGGAAATGATCCCCCAATGATTTTATTTCTCCTTGGCTCTGATCATGCACAAGTGCCTTCTGTGGAGATAGCGATGGTCTGTTCTTCATGGGCATGTTGCTCCTGCTAGATTGCTGCTGATTCATAACGTATGAGTGAATGGTTGTTACCACTTGTCTTCTGTTGGTTTAACTGTTCTGAAAAACAAAATATTAGAGAGATTCATAAAATTAACTGAAGGAAAAAAAAAAAAAGCCATGAGGGCTCATCTGGTTTCAATCAGCTCAGTGCCCTGGAAATCAGTTTACTCCAGCTGAGAGTCCAAGTGCTGCTGCTTCTGCCCCCAGGTGACCAGGTAGTCCCAAGTGTTTAATGCAAAAACATGCAGCAGTGAAACAGGGGTCTGGTGAACACTTGAGATGAGGAAAGAAGTGGAAATCAGGGCAGCTGGGCTCCATTTACTAGAACTGGCTGAAAACAAAAGGCAAAAAAATGGCACTTTGAATGCTTGCATCTTGCTCCCATCACTGGAGCAGAGGAAGAGCACAGTGGTTCATCCTCATTTGCAATTAAATACTTTGATCTGATCCCTTTTTATTCTCTCATCCTGTGTGCTGCTTCATGGCTGTGGAGCCACAAATGGCAGGAAAACTCCTCTTGCTTTGCCCCCTAAAAGGAGTGAGAATTTGGCCTCTTAGGGTCTGGGACATAATGAAAACTGATTGTTTGGACACGTGGATTTCTAAGATGGTGGCTCAGCAGCTCAAGGGTTAATGGGGCTCCCTCACTTTCAGCCATTGATATATTCATTGATAGAAAGGTTTATCTCCAAGGGAAAGCTTGTTCTTATTAAGGTAGGACCTGCAGATGGGGGTACAACAGCTCCTGCTCCACCTCTGTAGCCCCAGCTTTTCATACCTGACTGGGGCAAGCAAAGAAGAAGGAGGCACAGCTATTATAGGACAATTCTCCTGCATGAAAAATACCTCCCCAGGCTTAATAGACATTCTCTGTCCCTGGGATACCTGGATACCTTCACAAAGACTTCCCCTAAGGGAAGGGCCCAAGGTGCAGTGTTCTGGGTACACACCTCAGTTACACTTGGGGGGAGTGGGGGTGTTAAGCTCTGCCTGATCCAGCAAAGCATCCAAGCGCGGTTGATGGAAATCATGGGAGGTGTGCCTTTTCTTTCAAAAAGACTATTAACGCGCTTATGGTTAATCACACGAATAAATCTTGCAGTGGCTTAGAGCCAAAGCGAGCAATAAAAGCACCGATCCCCAGGCCTCCCGATGGGAATTGGCCAGGGCTGGGGCTGATGTTCTCACCAAATCGCTGGGAAGTAATCTGCGCCCTCGGCACATACACGCCCGGGGATTTTTGTTCAGTTATCCCCTCCAAAAGGCTGTTATCTAGGTAGAACCTTGAAACTATCTGCCCGTGCCAGCCGGGATGGCAAGGCAGGCATCCACAGGACCTTGATCTGAGCTGCTTTTTGTCAGCAGTACGTGTGAGAGCCATGGAGGGTGGATGGAGGGGAGGGAGAGCCCCAGTCCTGTCCCTAGGTCTCCTCTGGGGGCTTGGGTTTGTCAAGAATTAGATATTTAAAGGGACATGGTTTCCAAGGAGGAGAAAACCTTGGACCTCAAGCCCTGCCAAGATTAGGAGGGCATTTAGAGAAAGAACACGCTGTGCATGGTGCAAGAAGGACTCAGGGGTGCCATGTGGGTTTTTTTGTTGGCTTTTCTTTTGTACAGACAAGACCAGGAAATCCATAGCAAGTATGTGTACGTCCAGAGGAGATAGGATATGTTTCTGATAAGACATCTGAGGGAATTGACCTATGGCCCCATCTTGCATTCCGTGCTCCAACTGGACACAGGGGGAGACAAGGGCACTTGGGGCAGGCTGTAAAGTTAATTTTAAGAGACCTCCTAATATGGATTGACACCACCTGAAGCAGCACCCTGCCTCTTTCCTTCTCTCAGAGTGGTCTCCCAGCCCCTACACATACCGTTAGGCACCGACTTTGGCTTTTCAGCTTCAAAAAAGTCTTTTAAAAGTCAAGCCTTTGTCTTCTTCTAGGGGCAGAAATTATCAAAGCCAGTAAGGACAAGCATACATGTCCCAGGGACCAGGCCAGTGAAACGCAGGGGAGCCACTTTCCTAGTGCTTTGGAGAGTTGGTTGTCTTCTTACTCCTCTCCCCAGCTCCAAAATTTGTTGTTAGGAGGCCACACAAAGGAGATGTGTGCACTGAGTCTGCCCCACTGCTGTCCTCCCACTAAAGCTGCGAAAGGTTACTGGTAAGGTGACCGGTAGCCCTTTGCAGCGAGCTCACCTGCACCCGCCCAAATTTCCACGCATCTGCAGGGGCTAGATCAGCTCCTTGTGATTCATTTTAATCCGGCACAAAGCAGCAGCTTGCTGAAGCCTGATGTAAAACACCCACATACGCTCCCATTATATAATATGAATCTAAGAAGATTAAATTATCCGGTCTGAGGAAACACATGCACGTATGTATGTACACATTTATATACAGTCTGGGGGTTGCTGAGTAGAGCTGAGGGCAAAGCTTCCCTTCAGAAACGCTGAACTTGCACTTGTCAGCACTTAAACACTGGGGCAAGTAACGTGTATATGCCCGTGCACTGACGCATTTTCGAAGGGCCGCAGCAGCGGTACGCTCTGCATCTGAAGGTGCAGCACGGTAACAGCAAGAAAAATTTGTAGTTGTGTGCTTGCATGTCCACTTTGCCGGCAAAGTCTAGAGGAGCAGCACAGAGCAACGGGTGGAACGAACCCAGTCCCTGCACTAAACTTTACCTGCCAGTGTATGGCAAGGTAGCGCTCACTGGGCAAGAGGGGAGAGCAGCCCCCCAAACCACCGAGCCGTCGTGGAGGGCCTGGCCCGGCCCGACCCGTGGCCAAGAGCAGCCCCCAGCGTGCGCCTGCCCTGGGGCACAGCCCGTTCCCGTGTGAGCACCATCCCCGCAGCGATGCCCACAGTGAGGCCTTCAGCTCGGCTTGGGGTGCCCAGGCCTTTCACCTAACGCTGCGTTTTGCCTTCCAGCAGTTTCATGGCGGGGGGAGGGAGGTTTGCGGGAGACGTCCTTCACCTACAGCTGCCCGTGCTGCCCAGGCTGCAAACGGCTTGGCCTCCTTCTCCTCCCGTGCCTTCCCGTTATTGATTCACGGTGTTTTGCTAAATATAGCTCGGCCTCATGAACCTTCTCCCCCTGCTCAGGCCGGCGGGAGGTGCCGGCCGCAGGAGAGGCTCAGGCGCACAGGCGGGAGGGCTGGGC